GCAAACCCAAGTAAATTGTATAATTTTCAACTGATAGTATTACTACAGTCTTCTTAAGAAGTTCTTATGATTTATGATTTCTAAAATGATAACAAACTCAGAAATGCTAGCTAGAAATAATTGTAAATATTGTTTTCCTCTGTAGGTGTATTGATGTTCCAGACTCTTGCCATTTTATCCTCTTAGTATTGCATAATGCAGCCAATTCATGTTTTCCAGAGCTTCCCAATTAAGTTAAGTGTTCAGAAGTTTCCATGACCTTTAGGTTTCTTTGTACTCTATGTTGTTTTGCAGAGAGTATGATAGACTTTGTGGTTTACTTCCAGTGTAGTCTTTCTTTTATGGAAAAGATGTCACAATGCAAAAAGGCCATGGTTTTGAGTTGTGTTTTTGAGCATTTAATACAATGCTGATTTGACAGAACTTTTTTTTTTTTTTCCTAAAAATGTCTTAACGTACAGGAAACTATTTAAGTAGCTCATCAAAAAATAGTCAGCAGCAAAATACAATTTAAAAAGTTACTATTAGGCTGAATATATGGAAAAAAAAACAAGTTCAAGAAAGAAGGTCCCCTTAGAGAGGTTTGTTGCAGGATGTAGAAAAGGGCACCTATAGTTCATATTCAGTACAGTAATTGATGTTTGCTGTGCTTATGTTTCTTGTTTCAGTTTTGCCTGTCACACTAGGTATGACTTGTTGGAAAACCTTCTGTAAAGGTTACATTGTCCTCTTCAGTCAGATCTGTGAGAGTTCCCAAACACAAGCCTCTGTTCTTCACTGAATTTTTTTGGTTTCTCCAAAAACTTATGGTCTGATGGGGGTTTCTGAGGATGATGGGCATCAAGGTGGAGGCTTGAGTTGGAAAAGGTGGCACGTGGATACCTTTGAAGGAAGAGTGCATGGGCTGCTTTAGTAGGCCCAGCACTACATTCATGTGCTGTTTACCATCCAGGCTGAAATACTTAATTTCTGTCTTCCTGGAGCATAAGCAGAAACCTCAGGTCTGTCTGCCCCTGCCCATGTGGGTGTGTATTTCAAAGCCTGAGCTTATTTGTCAGAGCTATTTTGCTCTTTCTTTGGGTGTACACTGAACACTAGCAACTGTTCATGTCAGAACACTAATTAATATACATATATATGTGTAGATATACATATAGCCAGTTCCTCCAATCCTCCTGTCCTGAATAAAGAGCCCTTACCCCTGGTGTTGCTTAATACTTAGCAATTATGAAGCCTCAGGATCTTGTTTACACATGCCAGCTCTGATCTGGTGTTTTGGTCCATGTTTGTTTCAGCATGTCTGTCAATTGCATTTAGTGTAAATACGTTATGGTAGCAAAATGTGACCATTGACAAGTTGCCCCCACAATGTTGTAAACGTGCTATTTTCCTGCAACCTGATATAAAAATGCCCTGTTGGTAATGACATTTTTTGTACTGAAATTTGCTTGAGAAAATACAATAGGTCATGGTGAACCTACACCAGTGCGTAGAATTCTTTTACATATGAACAGGGCAGTAAAGAACTAAGAAAATTCAGCTATCAGCTTCAAGAGTTGTGGTATGATCTCTTATTAATAAATACATAAAACTCATAAATGTGTATATATTTAGGTATATACATAATCAAATATGGTATGTAAAAATTATCTGTATGATAGTTAATAAGAAAAAAGATTTTAAAAAATACAGAAACAGAAAACCTAATATGATAAAATAATGCTATTGCTATAGGGACTGGACAGACCTCTGCTACACTTCTGTTTTTCTTAAATGATTTTTAGAGGTTTACATTGATGAGACTCCTTTTCCCCAAACTGCTCAAAAGATTCTACAGAGGGTGAAACCTGTTGAGGAATGAATTTGAATATATATGGGGATCTTTTCTGTGTGTAAAACAGTTTCCCTCACTCGCAATCTAGCTAGTGTATTAATAGCCTTGAGTCCAAATTGCTGTATGAAATGATTCCTGTTGGGTTAGTGTGTAAGGTCATTCTAACTTAAATGTGTTCGATTTTCTAGTGCTGTTTTGGCAAGGGGTTTTGTTTTAGCTTTAGGGAGAAGTATTGTCACAGTGAGGCTCTTCCATCACACATGGAGGCCATGGTACAAGCAGGAACTGAAATCAAGCCCAAAATTGGTGTTCTCTGCATTAAGGCATCACTCCTCTGAATAAAGACTTCCCTTGAAAGTTCTGCTTCACAGTGTTGTATGACTGCTACTGAAACTCTTTTCTGTTAAATGTATTCCAAGTCTCCTGTCTGACTTAAAATGTTGGCCTCGTGTTATTTAGTCATCCCCCCCGCCCCGGTTCTCAGGTGGGTGTGTTGTAGGTGTGCAGCTGAATTTCTAAATATTTTATGCAGCTGAAAAGAATAAGAAATATAAAATTTTGGCAGTGTTTTTGGAAAACTGTTTTAAAAATGCGTTTATTTTCATACTTGGTGAACTTGACTAGGCCAAGAGTTCACTGTCTTTCTGGATTTGAAACTGTACCTTTTTTCGTTTTTCTATATAATCATTTCTATACCATTTCTATATCATTCCTCATAAATTTTTAATCTGTATTTGTCTTTCTAACAGTAATGTATGTTCGTTACTCTGAAAACGTTTTTATGCAGCCTGGGTTGGAGGAGGGATTCTTAGTCTCCTTTTTGTTTTGACTTCTGTATAGACTAAAATTGAACTTGTCCTCTTTCCCAACCTGTCAAGACAGGGTCAGATCTTGGTACACTTGCTTTAGGTTTAAAATAGCTAAAGATTTGAATGTTATTTTTGATGACTCCTTTGTAGCCTTTCCCTGTCAAAGAAGGGGCCAGTGTTTGATGCAAGTTATCATCAACAAAGATTAGAAAACTTCTGAATGTTTTCTTTTATTTAAATATGTCCTTTGGTTACTCTTTTATGTGTTGTTTGCATTTTACCTACTTACTAGGTTAAGTGACTGATAATTAATTGTAAAGGATCATTTCTTTGGAGAAAATGGCTGTGAGATAGGAAGATTTCACTTTTAGCATTTACTTAAAAGTATGTGTATGGGGGGAAAAGGATAGTCATGCCTCTGAATATGTTCATGATGAGTGCATATGTAAACATGCTTAAATCTTTGCAAGCTTTCTTCTGTTTCAGCAGGATAACAATTCAATTAAGGCATCCTGAAAATTATGTTTTAGCTTTATTTGTTGTTCATTGGCTTTATGTTATTTAAAAGATACCTCAGTCAATTCAATACTCAGGATATACTGAACAGTAGTAGTAGCAGCAAGAGTGACATAAATTTCCTGAACCAAACTGACACAAGCTATTCTGATGAATGCTGGAGCACTTGCATATTTGAGGTGAATTATCTCAAACCCCATGAAGTTCAACAAGGCCAAGTACATGGTCCTGCACATGGGCTGAGACAATCCCATGCTCAAATACGGGCTGGGTGATGAGTGGATTGAGAGCAACCCTGTGGAGTTGTAGTGGATGGAAAACTGACTATGAACCAGCAACATGCACCCACAGCCCAACTGTAGCCCAGGCTGCACCAAGAGAAGTGTGGCCAGTAGGTCGAGGGAGGCGACTCTCCTCCTCTACTCTGCTCTCATGAGACCCCACCTGCAGTGCTGTGTCCAGCTCAGGTGCCCTCAGTATAAGAAGGACATGGACCTGTTGGAGCAGGTCCAGAGGAGGCCCATGAAGATGATCAGGGGGCTGGAGCACTTTCCCTGTGAGGACAGGCTGAGAGAGTTGGGGTGGTTCAGCCTGGAGAAGAGAAGGCTCAGGGGAGACGTGGGATCCTTCCAGTACTTAAAGGGGGCTACAGGAAAGATGGGGAGAGGGGCTCTTTATCAGGAAGTGTAGGGATGGGATGAGGACTAACAGTTTTAAACTGAAAGAGGGTAGATTTAGATTAGTTATAAGGAAGAAATTCTTCACTGTGAGGGTGGTGAGACGCTGGAACAGGTTGCCCGGAGAAGCTGTGGCTGCCCCCTCCCTGGCAGTGTTCAAGGCCAGGTTGGGTGGGACTTGGAGCAACCTGGTCTAGTGGAAGGTGTCCCTGCCCGTGGCAGGGGGGTTGGAACTAGATAATTTGTAAGGTCCCTTCCAATGCAAATCATTTTATGATTCTATGATCTTTATTCTTTTATTTGAGAAAAACCCCTCTAACTTCACAAGAAAAATAACCGTGCTAGTAATTATGTGCTATAGGTTGTGTTTTACAGAATTATAGTTTATATATGTGCTTCTGCAGATTATTCTGGGATTCGGTTCTGTTAATACATTTAGACTTCAGTACATTGTGAGCATACAGAAAGGTTTGGTTCTTGAAGAAAATTATATACTTCACTGAATGGAGGCAGAGATTTGTTGAGTGAATATCTTTTGTCTGAAAATTGCTGAACTATAATTATACCATAACTAAGATATAATCTAAACTAGAAATATTCATATTTCTTTCCAAATTAGCTATGTTGACTTTTCTCTTTAGTAGAGATTCATGTTTTATAAGTTCTGATTTGTTTCTTTGTAGTACTCATTCACAGTAGAGCTAGTAGAGCTAAAGCAGGGATTTTGTTTTGTTAGTGACACCTGCTTCTGTTGACCACTTAATTTAAAAAGCACCTTTATGCATTTCGGTGATGATTTTTTTTTTTTTTTTTTTTTTTGTATGCGTTTTTGGGAGTGACAACTGTTTTTTCTTAACTTTCTGTTCCATAGTGTGCACCCTAGTGGCGTCTCAGTTAGTAAATGAGATAACTGCTCATTCTTCATTTAAAAAAAAAAAAAAAATTACAATAGAAATGCTCATGTATGTTTTTGTTTTTGAAAACATAAACAACGAACAAATGAGAAACCTCCTCCAAGAATGTGTTTTAAATATTGAATATAAAGTTATTTTGCAGATAGTTTATTGATAATGGATAAGTTTGATCTTTTTGTTATATGATACAAAGTAGAAGTTGACAGGTTGGATAATTCTTAACACAGATTTGTATCTTTCTGTCTTCTAGACAATTCTGCTGAAGCTGATTTATGGTTGCTGAACAGTTGTACAGTAAAAAATCCTGCCGAGGACCACTTCAGAAATTCAATTAAGTAAGTTGTTTCCCTAAAAAGATACTGAATTATCAGTTAATATTGTATGTTTTAATTTTAAAGGCTTCATATTTTCAATCTGGAAGTAATTTCGTGTTTTAGAGCAAGAAATGTGCTGAGTTTGAGTGTTAGAGTGAGTTCTCTAGACTGGTTTGTCAGGTGCAGCATTTTCTTTTTTTTTTTATAATTAGCTATAACTTGCAAGTGATTATCAATACACTTAGGAGAGCTGGTGACCTATTTAGATAGTGACTCCTATTTCACTTTTCAAGACAATGTTGTAATATTCTTCTGAAGAGTTGAGTATTTGTTTTTTCAAAAATATGTATTGTTAGGGTGGCTGTTTTTTTCCTCTAATTTTACATAATCAGGCCCTTTAATTAAAAGGGTGTCAGGTACATGCTTAAAACTATTTCACTATATATTTTCTTAAAAGGTGAACTGAATAGCCTGTAGTAAAAGTCTTATGAAGTACATGTTTTATTTGTAACATTTCCATGATGCTGAAAAATATGACACGATAGTGACTTCTGCCTCTGACGTCTGCAGAGGTATAGTTGTGATGTGAATTGCTGGAAAACCTGTACACTTACGGCTGTCATTGCCCAGTATAAATAAATACTGTGTCATGTTTCTTGTAGATTTTACCTTTAGTAAACAAGTATGACTATTTAGGTGGTCATTTTAGTGTGGTTGCACTGTGGATGGACTGTGTATTGAAATCCATTTTGGTTACACAAATATAGTTATTAGTAAGCAGTTGTCATTCTCAGGAAGATAGGAGAGAGAAGCTGGATATAAACTGTCTGCTTGCAGTGTTGGATTTACTAACAGTATCCCAGGGCAGTAACCTGGAGCAAACTGTTTGTCTGCAGTATGTGGCACAGCGGAAGCTTCCTCCACCCCTCAGAGGGATTTGCTTCCTGAGTGATGGTGTTGCACTTGGTGATGAGACTGGCTTTTTGGCTTTTTTTAATTTTGCCAAAAAAAGAGTTGTTCCCAGAATACTTCCAGTTAGTGTGTGCTGGCCAACAGAACTGATGACAAGATCTTTTCCAGTTCAGTTGTGGCCATCTTTCTATTTTATTAATCTTATGCCAGAATTGATGTGGTATGGTGTGTGTCCTTTAACCAGTAGAACAGAGTTGGTTAAGAAAGAGGGTCTAACTAAAAGCAAATGACCAAAAATATTTCTTTGAACTTCATTTTTTCTGTTGCCGCACTATTAGTGAGCCTGAGGTTATTTGTAGCCTGGGTTTATTCCTTTTTTTCCTTACTTCTCCCTATGCTCACTCTATTCTGACACACAGATACTCTGGTTGTTCTCCATTTCTTCTCTTTGCTGAATGTCACTCCTTTCCGGTAGCTTGCATGGTTAGTTCTCTACTCTCAGATCCTGGCAGTTCCTAATTATGGAGAAGGACAACTTTTGTTACTGTTTCTGACCATTTTTTATAATGTTCATTAAATGTAGGGGAGAGAACCATATGTGGGTGCTCTTTAATGGAATCTGTAATTGAAAGATTAAACATCATCCATCTCAGAAAAGAGTAACTGCTGCCATATTTGGGGTTTGCAGTAGTGGGGAAGGCTTGTATCTCTAAAGAACACAACTTCTCCCAAATACATTTTTAATTTGTTGCAGCAACAAATCCAATGCATGAAGTTTGGTGATACAAACCCAACTGTCATTATATACTAGCTTAACAGCTTGTTGGTAGCTATGGAGATCTTTGTTTTTCTCAGTTGAGTAACAAATTAAACATTTAGTATGTAGATTGTCAAAGCAAATACACTTTGAGTGGAAAAAATAATACAGTAAGATTCTTCTTTTGAACTAAAAAAATGCAGGCTGAAAGTCTTATATAGGATTATGAATGTCACGTGGAACAAGTATTTCAGTTTTGTTTATTCTCTGCCCTCTGCAACAGTTTGTGTATCTTTCCTTGCATATATGAGTTCAAAATGCGCTGATTCAGACCAGTGGTAGTGTGTTCATGCTGGTGGTTGAAGAATGAGAAGCTGATGCCTCACTGATACTGTGTGCCAAAGGATGTGTCAGAACACAAGAAGTCCTGTAGGTTCAAACTTTTTTTGATCTGATGATGTTCTAAAAACAAAACCACTCCCAAACTCTCTTAACCTTTGCAGTGGATGTGCAGATGTGTATATATCTAATACAAGCCACCTGACAAGTTTAATATCCATGCCTTTTTGTATAGCTCTTAGAAGTGGTCTGCTGTTCTTTGTTATCAATAAAGTTGAAGCCACCGAGCCAGGGTGGCAGTACGGAGAGTAAAGAGTTGCTTAAAGACCATTAGCTTATGGATGGGAATTGAGAGCTTTTAGTGTGTGGATTTTATTCTCAGTTGGTTAATCATAAAAGAAGATTATAGGCAGAGTTAGGCAATAATAAAGAATTCCTACTAAAATGAAGTAGGTGGAGTTTAAAAAAAAAAAAACTTAAAATCCTTCAAAAAATGAAGGTTAATTGAAGAAAGTAGGAAATGAAGAGAATAGACTAAAGCAGTTAGTTTTCATAAACTTGCTTGCTGGAAGTTAAAGTGACTGTGTGTAAAGCAAAACCTAGGCAAAGAAAAAGAATCCCTTGAACATGTAAAAACAAGAAAAAGAAGGAAGAAACTAATAGTGAGAAGCAATGAGGCAAAGAACACCTCAGAGAAACAGTCTTGCAGAGAAATGGTCCCTGTTCTTGGGGGGGGGGGCTCAGTTATGTTGCAGTAACTCTGTTCTTCTGTTTTGATACTTTGCTAAATCTCACAGAATGTGCCGTTATCCCCAGCCCTAGCTTTCCAGAATTCACAAGTTCATGTAACCCTGTGACTGAAAACACTTGTGATGGAAGATTTTCTAGTAGCTAGTTTTGGCAGGATCCTACCTTAGCATAGGAGGAGCAGGAGATGGCCTGTTGTTTAAATGGCTCCAATTTGCAGCTGTTAGGAAATGAGAATACCTGTTGCATGGCAGAGGGAAGCGAGACTGTGGAGTACAGGGGGCAGAGGGATACAAGGACACAAGAGCTAGTATTGGTGTATGGTATTACTTGCGCAGTTGATAAGCAATTACCACCTAATGGTATATGTGGACAAGAATTAAGTCCCTTTGTATCCCTATGTCCTAACAGTAAGGTATGGATAGTACTCCATATACAGAATCACAGAATGGCTGAGGTTGTTGGGGGGCCTCTGGAGATTGTCTTGTTCAACCCTGCTCAAAGCAGGGACAACTAAAGACAGGTGGCTGAGGGCTATGTGCAGGCAGGTTTTGAGTGTCTTCAAGAGACTGCACAAATGCTCTGGGCAACCTGTTCCAGTGTTTGACCATCCTTATAGTAAAAAAACCGTTGTCCTGTCACTGGGCACCACTGTGAAACACCAGGCTCTGTTGCCCCCTTGCTTTCCCATCCCCTTCCCCATCAGGTGTTTATATACACTGATGGAATTACCCTGATCCTTCTCTTCTCCAGGCTGAACAGTCCCAGCTTTCTCAGCCTCTATTTGTATGTCAGATGTCCCAAACCTTTGATTACTTACGTGTCCCTTCCCTGGCCCCCTTCCAGTTTGTTCTCTCTCATTTGTACTGGGGAGCCCAGCACTGGGCCCAGTGCTCCAAATATCTCACCAGGGCTAATCAGCAGGGAAGGATCACCTTCCTCCATCTGCTGGTGATGCAATGCCTGATGTAGCCCAGGAGGTTGTTGGTGGTCTTTGCCACAAGAGCACATTGCTGGCTTGTGGTCAGTTTGGTGTTTACCAGCATCCCCAAGGCCTTTCCTGCCAAGCTGCTTTCCAGCTGGTCAGCCACTGCCTGTCCTGGTGCACAGGGCTATTTTTTTCCCAGGGGTAGGACTTCACACTCTAAACCCCTTCATTTTCATTAACACTGATATGAAAATAAAGAAAATAATTAGTTTGCATTAACTCAGTGTTTATAGTGAGTGATCTACTTGTCCTCATAAAGATGTGACTATTCTTGGCTATGTTGTGGAAGCTTCTAGAGATAAAATCCTGCAATAGGTTTATCTTCTGAAAAAAAGCAAAGTGCTTTTTTTCTGTCAAGGGCTTGTATTTTGGTTGGTGATGGATATATCTGTTGTGCTTTAGTAAAGTAGTTGTTGGGCATTCCTGGGAATTAGCTTTTGGAAAGATCCAGGAGTGTTGAATCCCTCTGATTTTTATTTTTTTTTTTTCCCCCTAGTGGTATTGAACTCTTGCTAAAGCGGTGGGTTTCTTTGGCAGGGAAAGCATGCTATGAAAAATCTCTCTCTACCCTGGCCTGTTCTTGCAGTCTTAAGTGTCTGTGGATGGCTGCAATCGCAGATAGGGTGTTAGTTTATTGGTCCTTGATCTTGTGCTTCTTAATTGGCCTGTGCACACTGTTTTAAGCAGAAGGATTTTTAAAATTTTAATTTAAAGTTCAGAAAACCTTGACAAACCTAAACCACAACCATTTGTATCTTTGCTATGCTATTTATACAGAAAGTGCCCCCCCCAACATTGTTCAAGATGTCATGTTGAACAGAGTGACTGTGATGCTTTTAAAGCCTGTAATGCTTTAAAATTATGTAGTACCTCAAATAGAGTTTTATGGAATAAAATGCCTTGAGGTGAGTTGGATTCAAGGACTTTTACCTTAACTGGAGGTGGTTTATGTCTGCTAATACAAATGGTTCTGTCAGTGCTGCGTTTTTGGTTTTTTTTTTTATCCTGTAGCTCAGTTAATCAGAAATTAAAGGTATTCTATGGAATGGGATATGTTTTCCCTTTCACATGATTTCTTTTAATAGTGGCAGATATTTTCTTTCTCCAGTTAGTAGTCAGATACAATTTGGAGAATGCATTCCTGCACTAAAGGCAACAAAGTGCTTGGGGTACTTTATTGACAGAGTTTATCCTTGTAGGACAGCTCTGACTTGAACTCCTCACCCTGTCCTGTGATCTAAGCTGGCTTTACCCTTGAGATGGACAGAGCTAGGATAT